GGATAAATATAATTTATTAAATGATCAAATGTGAAGAATAAATAATTACATGAGATGAAACCATCTAAATAATATATTTTTGAATAAAATAGTCTTTTTTAAAAATCATTCTAACAAATAAAACATTTGTATGTTTTAAGTTATTTTACTCTGTGTGAAAGACAGATACTGTATTTGCTGCTTGGACTGGAGAGTGTGGAAAGCTGGTTTAACCAAGGCCGAAGATGCAGAAGACCAAACTACAGAAGCTGTCCATCTGAGGGACATGTTAGTCTAAAAGACATTTAACCATGATATGTTCAGTTTGTGATGTGTATATGACATACACCCAGTCTCTCTGCCACTTAGGTAGTTTACAAAAAAATACAATTAAAAAACTCAGTGGACTAATTTGGCATGATGTCCTGAGACATTGCAGGAGTCATAAAACAGAACAGGGGTTGTTAGATGCCTTGACACCCCCTGTAGATAAATGTGTTAAATGAGTTAAGGACAATATGAGCACCAAGCAAAAACCCTAGGTTCTCCCCTGAGAACCAGACCAAAAATTTTATGTGCAACCCTGTTTATAATTGTACTGCTGATGTTTACACCAATTGTTCAATTTGTTTCAGAGATGAAAGATGGTCTGAAACGGCGCCGTCTTGAAGCAGCTGGCCAGGAGAACTGTAGTCCCAGACCATCTACATCTGGACGTCTGGCTGAGCTAATGGCAAAACCAGACACACCAATGATTCCCTCGGTCCGTTCCCGGGTTCAGCTGCTCTCCCAGAGAGGAAATGGTAATAGTTACTTTTTCTACTGAAGCTGACGTGTTTATGCTTTCCACCGAACTATCGCTATAACATAATATTCAGCAAAATACTTCTCACAAATTGGAACTGTACGTGTAATCACCAAAATAATTAATGATCTCTGAAACTCATCTTTTAGGAAATGAAGATTTAGTTTAGGATTACCCTAGTTTCAGCATGTTTTATGTAATAAAGTATCAACACAAAGGAAAAAAAATAATTAATCTGCTTTTATAAAGGGTTTTGCTAGCTTTTTTTGGGTGGGGGGGGGTTACAAGTTGATGTTAATTTGAAATCAAGCCTGATTTGTATGAAAGGATGTAATATTACTTGTCAAAGTGATACTGACTTGTTGACAAAGTGCAGTTTAAAAAGGTATTCATTTGTAGGTCTGCGTTGCCACTCTGATCCTGGAGCTGAAGACCCACCGGTTCTCAACAAGGGTGTCAAAGAACATTTTCTTGGTGAGGATAGAAACAAGCACACCCACTCGAGCATAACATTATTTTACACGACATTAGTTATTTTTATTTGTTTGTAAAGTGACGTGAACTTTTTCAACATTGCTGATTCAGTGGATTTTAAGTCCTGTCATGTATAGCTAACCCAGAAGTGATATAAAATGTGTAATTTGTGTTGGTATACGGTGAAGCACATCAATCCAAATATCAGCCTAACATTGATCATTATTTAGCCTCTTGACTGCCATTGGCCGCTCAGTAAATATGATTAGTGACCACTTATACTTTTTTTTAGGTAAAGATGAATTTAATCAACGAATGGAGCGTTTTAAAGCACCACTCGCTTCAGCCAGCCACACCCCTACACAAAGTCCCACCAACCCCTGCCAACGGACTGGCTCCGGCTTTGTGTCTGAAATTCAGCAGAAACTCCAGTGCACAACAACACCCAGCTCTAAGCAAGCTTCCCTTATACGACAGGTTGGTTCTTGCAGCTTTAATCAATAAAAATCAATAAAAATAAAATAAATGTGCATGTCATTGGATGTATCTGTAACAGACCAGTTCTTATCAGTGATGTCTGTTAATCTTTTATCTCAAAAATTTTTATAAACCATTAACTTTGTTTTGATAACAGGAACGAGAAATGGAGTTGAACCAGTTACCTTTCCAGCCTATCAGCAAAAATGCCTGGGTGAAAAGGAGCAGCTCTGATTCATCAATAATTCAGGTAGGTTTTTATTTTTAACTCACAATATTTGTTGTTGGGCATTACTGTTATGACACAAACGACACATGATGCACATACATCTATAAATTATTTCAAAATTTTGATAATATTTTTTGCTGGTGTTTGCTATCCCACTAATACTGTATATATTTAAATATATACTGTAAATTTTTAACACATTCTACTTTATATAAACAATTGGCAGGCAAGGACTCCTGCTCACTCCTCGTCATCTTCAATTCTTAGATCTAAAGGGAAATTTTGTTGGCCTCCCTTGCAGCCCTCAGATGTGAGTTTGTCAGAAAAAAGAAAAAAAAAGACACTGACTGGTGACACTTTAAAAGGATTTAGATAAACTATAGCCAACTGTGATTCAAAACTTGTTTTTCTTATAATGTGGTCAAGCTTGATGCCACAGTTGGAGATATTTTCATCTAACCTTAAGAATGTGGTGAAGTTGTGGGGGATGTTAAAAGTTCACTTAAGTGAGAAAGATGTAATTTAATGTGTTACAGTTGAGTCATGCATTTTTATCCCCTTCTCTTTAAAGAAAACTAATTTTAGTGTTTTACAGCAGATACCTAATTATCAGTTTGGAGCAATGTGCCTTTAAAACAGTGGCGGCTTTATTTTTCTCACAGTTTTCTTTAAAGACTGGTCATATAAAACTGCAATCACAATTGTGGTTATTTTAAAATTATCACTTATTTTTGTAATTTTATGAGTTCTCGTGAACATCTTTTGGTCACTGCAGCATATCTGGATGCTGATATTCTTTGTTCCAGCAGGTTCACGGTGATGCTGAGATGAAAGATGGTAGTTTTACTGAAACTCTTACATCAGCTGCAGAAAAACTTTCTGTTAATATGATGGGTAAGACCGCTGGCCATTATGTATACTTTCCTCATAGTCTGATTCTTCTTAATACGCAATATTTAATTAGTTTTTCTACTGAAATTAGAAATGTCTAGAAAAAATGCATATAAATAGACTATTTAATAGTGAAAGCTTTGTCCAAAAAGCTAATACCAAGCTATTAAATCAATCTGACATGGTACTGCCACCTTAAATTGTTTACTATTCATATGATTTATCTGCTACAAATAGTTTTGTAGTACTCAGATTATTATTTATTGGAAAAATGGTCAAAGTTTAAAAGTTGTTAAATGTGTGAATAATGTCGTATCGATGTCTCAAATCAAAGTGTGATATTTATTTATTTGTTTTGTTTTATTATTATTATTTTTGTTTTGGTTTATAGAGTAAACCTGTCGGTTAAGATAAGATTCTGGACTTATATCTCAACAGGTGATGGAACTTCTTCAGAGGCTCCCACTGCATCTGCAGAGTTTGTATTCTTCGATGAAGGAGATGAACAGAAATCTCACGATGGTGAGGAAGATGAGAATAAGAGAGAGCGCAAGTCTGCACCTATGAATAAAGAAGAGCAGCCAGGTTCCCAGCATCCAGAGACCCAGACTATGTTAGAGTTGTCTTTCAGTGAGGAGCACAGTTTGTCAGAGCTGCATAAAGCTGATAAGCACAATTTTTTACAGTCAAGTCTTCTAGACGAGTCAAACATGAAGGAAACACATAAGGTTTCTGAAGAAACTGAAGTGAGCATGTCTGAGGGGTTTACTTTTGATGAAAGTGAGACTGTGGACAATTTGTCATATGGTGAGGAGTTAAATGAGCCTTCGACTGATGAAGAATTAAGGATTTGGATATATCCTCAAAGCAGGGCTGAAGAATCTGTCACAGCAGAAGAAAAGCAGGTGTTTACTAAAGAGAATGAAGAGGTATTAAAATCACCCAGAGAGGACAAAGAGAAAGGAGACAGCTCTATGAATTATCAGAAACTTACCGATATTCAAGGTGTTAAATTTAGTTCATCTGCAGATGTTTCCAGTGAGTTGGCTGGCTTTCCCAAACCGCAAGAAGGTGTGAAACCTGAAATAGGACATGGTGTAGATAACTCTGCAAGAGGAAAATCTGATTTAAACAGTAATGAGGGGAACATGGAATCCTCTGAAGGATGCTGTGAGGAAATGCCAACCCAAAATGATGACACATTTCAACAGTCGCAGGAGAGCCCAGCAGTCCATGTACAATATGAAGCTCAAGTTTTAGAAGAAACACAATCAGGGAATGCAGACCAGGGGTCAGACTTGCATGAGATGGAGACCAATTCAACAGAAGGAAGGCAGGATGTTATAGATGAACTGACAGCACAAACTCACAAGTCAGAAAGCTCAAGGAAAGTCACTTTTATCCTGGAGCCTGAGCTGATCAATAGCTCCACTCTGACTGAAAGCGATACATCAATGGAGTCCAGGACAGAGACGAGTCTGTCAGGTGAGACTGGTCTGAAAAGTTATGAGCACTTGGGCTTCCTTTAAGATGGAACACAGGGGAGAAGCACTTTGTTGGTGAGATGGTAGCTATGCTAGGTTCACTTTGAGTGGAATGTTTTATTTATTGTAAGGTGCTCACCAGAATTTACTTAATATTTAGCTTGATTAAACTTGCACAAGTGGTGTTCAGATTTTATTTTCTTTTTCATACAATTTATTTTAAACTTTTAAGTACATTGTTATGGAATTATGTAGTAAATGACACCATTACTAGCACACAGTTGGTATTTCACACACACAAACTTGAAGAAGTTACAGCAATGTGTTGATCTTTTTGTTTTTAGTTTCTACAAAAAGGGATTCAATTCAGCATTAATTTCTTTCCCCAGATGCTGGATTAAGCTCCCATGATGAGACCAACACATCTGAAACAAGTGATAAGATGTTCGACGAGATGCTGGAATGTGCTGGAGGAGAAAAGGAACAACTTGCAGAAGACCATGACAGTGGTATCGGTGCTTGCTCTGGAGTCAAGGACAAGATGGACCCAGATGTAGAGAATAGGAAAAGTGAAAAAGAGGATAAGGAGGGTGATGAGAGCGGAAACCTTGACAGTACCGAAGATGAGCTCACGTTTCCTGAAATCCTCTCTCCTCTCAGCAAGTCTGTTGAAGCTGCAGTCACCCCTCTGGTAAGAACTATTCAGAAAATATGATTAAGATTCTTGAAAAATATGGGTTCTGATTTACCAGGAACAAATAAACTGATTTTAAAATCTCTTATCTGTAACATTTAACAGCGTCTGGCAGCAACTCAGCAGTTTGATCCTCCATCCTTTCTCTTGACCCAAGAAAAAAACAGCTCCACTTCTGCTGAATGTGCTCCTCTGTACAGGTAACAAATATAATACTAATGTTAGTTTGTAATTAATTCAGAAAAAATGAAGGGAGTACAAACCAGCAAAGGAAAATACGTTTTGAAATTGTATAACTGTATTGTGTCTTTATAAATATCAGGTGTCTCCAACAATATTGAGCTTTTTCCAGTGTAATCTAGATTTGCAATTGGTTTGTTTGTCCAGATGTCAGTGTAGTGTTGGGGTGCTGTGTAGTTGCTCAAAATTTCTTTGAATATATTTTCTACAACATTATTTTAAATCTGTTCTGTTTGACAGTGTTGATGCATACCGCACACAAAGACAGAGTAAGCTACTGACCATCCAGAGCGTGGCTCCTGCTGTTCAGAGACAGACACTGGAGCTGACCAAACCTCAGTCATCAGTCAACACTAAGGAGAAAATTGCAGTAAGAATTTGAGTTTTGGGGAAAGGAAATAATTTTCATAGACTATCCAGATTCTGAGCATTTAATATTAACTTTACTTATTAGTAGGGGTGCACCCACTTCGCTTGTGGGGGTCATAATTAGGTTAAATGTAAACTGACTGTAACCGGGATTTCTGCACTTTTTGGAAAATGCACGAAAACCTGACAAATATTGTCTCATGATTGGGGGGGGTTGTTATTTGTTTTTACTTTTTTTAAGACCCCTTTTTTTAAATGCAGAACTGTAGATTACTTTTTAATTTAAGTTTTTAGCTAATTCCTGTCCAGATTTGTTTGGCAAGGGTTTTGAAGCTACTGGATCTATTTATTATAAAGAATTAAATAAACCTGAGGAAATTGCTAAAACCTGTTCATTTTGAAGGTTCATATTCACATTGACTTGTTAACCTAAATTCATAAAGGTTTTACAATTTTGCAAAAGTTCACTTATTAGAGTGTAAATTGTGACAAAAGCTTTCACTGAACCTTCTCTAAATGTTCACCTTCCTATTTATGTGCTGTTTTTCCAGGCTCTTAATGAAGAAGCGTCAAAACTACAGTCAGTGATTAACCAGACAATACAAGCTCTGAGCTTCTGTACAGATGAAGAACATGGTCGCGGCTCACTGGAAGAGGCTGAAGCTGAGAAACTGCTGCTTGTCTCCTGTAAGAACACTACTGGATTATAAACCCTCCATTGAAATAGAAATGATCACTTTTGTTGTTTGTTTTTTTCTGTATGGGAAATGTTTAGCAACAGTCCTTAAGTTCACGTTTTTAGTTGTTGCGCATTGTTATAAACAGAAAAGGGCTTGAACTGGATTCATATTTTGGACCTGTTACTTTACGTGCACTGAGATGACTTATGAATTAAACTGCAAGTACTTGTGTTTTAACTGTTTTTAATTTAGGTGAGAAACACTCTGCTCTGCTGGCAGAGGTAGCCAGACTGAGAGAGGAGAGGAACTCTGAGTCTGAAGAAGCAACTAAGGAGGACAAAGAGCACAATCCCCAGCAGCCCTGCAGAGGGACTGTCAGCATCACAAACATCCAGCTGCCTCTGAAGGTGGAATTCGTCTGCTCCTCACAAAACCGTACTGGTACTTCAGCAATTCTCATATTTAAAAAAACAAACAAACAAACAAAAAACGGATTAAACAAATTGAAGTTCACATTCAAACAGATTTTGCTTTTGAATTTGTTTAGGTCGACCAACCCACTACTTCTTTGTTTTGATTCGCTATGGTCCATGCAACATTATCGCCACACCACTGGCCACAGCAGCTGATGCTCAAAATGGAGATGCTATCTCTTTCCCCACGTCTGTCACAATGTAAGCTACATTTCTYTTCTGCCTTCTTGATTCTTTTTTTTAATAAGTTCTCTTTTGAGACTAAAATTAGATTTAGCTTTCTTTGTTTGACTGGTAAATGTTAATTTTAGTGGGAATATTCAGGTGATTCTTTTTTTCTTTCATAACCTTTCAGGAAAGATATTCGCTCCTCTTTTGAGATTGATGTGGAAGTCTACAGCCTGGTGAGGGAAAACAGTAAAATATTAATTTTCAATTTTTTTTAGYAGCAAAGATTTTAAGTAAAATAGTGAGAAAATTTAATGCAGCTCTCATGCTGTTTTTTCAACTTGTTTGTGAGTAAAGCCTCTAACTTTATGTTTACAATGAAGTGTTGCCTAGTTCTTTATAAAAGTTAAGTATACAAACAAGTTTAAACACCACAAAAATGAATCCAGTTGGATTAATATGTTTTTAAGCATATATGAAGGAACAGAACAAAACAAACTGGAATTAGGTCTTAAATATTATTTAATTGGAAAGGTAACCCAATTTTTCTGCACTATTAAGCTCTTTTGAATTATAATCAAMTCAAGTTTTTGAGTCTGTTTATTTGAAATATTAAAGTTGTAGATTTTTCTTTTTCTGCACATCTTCTGTTTTTGTTCCGTGTAGTCTCATACATCAGGTGTTAGCAGCACCRCAGACAAAGTTACCACCAAGTCACGCGTAAGTAATTTTCTGTGGGTTTTTTTTTTTTTTTTTKGGGGTGGAAATTAAAAACCAAATGTGTGTTTATCAAAAGCAGTKTTKTGTTATATCTCTTAATGTGCCTCTTAACTTTTTTATAGGTCACACCAAGGAAGATTCTGAGTACGATCACGGTGTGTAGTCAKTTTTTATTTTCTGCCAGAAAGTCAAAATAATAATTTTTTTTCCAACTTCCTACTTTATGGACCAACCTAGTTTCTTTTTTTGTTTTTACCAGAAATCCAGCAACACTTTGACATGTAAGTGCATTTTGTTTTACTCGGTACCATAACTTTTTTTTTCCTGTTTGCTATACTCAACCATAATTCCAAAGAATAACCGGTTCATTAGACTCTAATACTTCTAGTCTAGTCATGAGTTTTCAGTCTAGACATTTTTGTTTTCAGGTTCYTCTTCTGCCAACGCTCGTCGCTCCAGTAACTTTTGTCTCGTGGGCTCCCATAAGATCACTTTAACCTCACTGGGACACAACAAGTTTCCCTTGGATAAAGTAAATATAATTTATGCTACATTACTTACCACTGAGTGTATGATACTTTTTTAAGAGTATATGTGTAAATGTTTCTGTGAAAAACACATTACCACCGCTTTACTAACTTTTGCACATTTCTTTTAAACACCAAGAGAAAACACAGAACCACAGACATCACTGTTAATCGCTTTGTTTTTTTTTTTTTTGTGGTTTTAAGTCTACACATGGGTGGGCTCACTGTAATGTTTCTGTCTCCCTCCCTGTTGCTTTCTTCCTTCTTCCACTCAGATGAAATTTGAAGGCAAAATCAGGAGGCTGCTGGGAGATGAATTTCAGGATAAGGTTTCACTTTTTTCAAAACTCTACTGTCACACATTCACCTCAGCATTTCTGTCTTCTGCTCTGCAACAACTAACACCCTCCTTCATGTGTACAGTCACGGAAATTAACATTACTGCCATAAGATTTGTTTAAACAGTTATTAGCTCTCATTCTTTTAATCTTGTCAAAATAACTTATATGAACTGTTGCACTGAAGGTGATTTTATATAAAATCAACATTACTGAATGTTTAACCATATTATAAATTCCCTTTTATTTTTCTGCCGTTTTTGATGGTAATTCTAAATTTGTATAAACTCTAAAGTGGCAACATCATTAAAAAAAACTTTCTGCTGGTAGAAATCTACTGTTAGATGTTTGCTCTCTGTATCCAACTAAAGCAAATAAGAATCCAATGTCTTTGACAATGTTTATATATTTTTTAAGTTTGAATCTTATCTTCTTTTGACCACAGGTTCCTTTCCTCTCACCTCTAGAGGGCAATATCTATCTAAAACTTGACAGCGAAGGTCACTCTGATGTTCAGCACCAAGGCTTTCTGGTCAGTTGTGTGTGTGTGTGTGTGTGTGTGTGTGTGTGTGTGTGTGTGTGTGTGTTTTAAGACAAGTAATTTAAAAGATAACTTCAGCATAAATTTAGTGAGGAAACTTAAAGCAAGTATTAAGAATGAACCTCCACTAATGTGCAGGGTGTCTACTTTAYTTTTTATATATCACAGCTTTAAAATGTCTTAGTATCTTAAAATCCAACAAATAAAAAATAACTACACTCCTGTAGCTACCATTACTCAGATTTTTTTGTCAATAAATTTAAAAATCAATTCATTTATCTTTAGTGATAAATGTAAAATAAAATTTGTTGTTCTACCTCTAGACAATGTTTGAGTTGGTTAGTGGATTTGGGGTGTGGAATCGCCAGTATTTTATTCTGGAGGGATGCAACATGTACTACTGGAACCACCCAAATGACAAAGAAACCAAGGTGAAAATTAAAAAAAATGTACATTTCAAAGAGACTTTGTTTCTGTTTTGGGGTTTAATATAGGTTTCTGTTTTTAACTTCTTAGGAAGCCATAGGCAGCATCTTCCTGTCCAAGTTCCCCAATCAGTGCGTCAGGCCTGTGAAGAGAGATGCATGTGCTCGACCTTTCACCTTTGAGCTGGTGGAAAAAGTCCCACAGCTAGATGATCAAAACCAGGAACCATTATCAAAGTAAGTTTATAGTTATAAATATATCAACATATTTAATGATGAGTTTCAGTTTAATAATGGTAAAAAGACAGACTAGCTGAATCTGGTGGTTAGATTCTGCCTTMCTGAGACTTTAAATTGAATTGAGTCATTGTTGAAAAATCTCTTATTTGGATTTTTCCTTCATTGATGAATCAAAAATACGAGCTGTGAAAAGGTAACACAATAACAACTGTAATATTTTATTTTGGTTCAGACCAAACACTATTCTTAAAACAAAATGTTTTGTACAAAAGTTGACGTTTTTGTGTTTGTTTTTTCCAGGTGTTGGTTCTCAGCTGACACCAAGCAGGAGAGATTGGAGTGGATGGAGAAACTCAACCAAGCTCTCTTGGACTTCCACACATGGAAACAACCCCAACCAGAAACTCAGCAGCCAAGCAYGTTCAGCAGGGGAAACCTGAGGGAGAGTATATTGTAACACGTTACTTTATCTGTGATCCATGAAAGCCTCCTGGACTCGTCTTACCTGGCAGGTAGATGAGCTCATCTAGGTTTGGAGCTGCAGTAAAGATGACACACATGACATAACTATTCCTTTGGGAGATATATATTAAGTTTCTATGTATTTCTTTTAACCTGAATCTAATTATTATTGTTTGTTGGTTTTCATTTTTATTTGTAAACTCACAGTTGCCATTAGAAATTTTTTTTTAAGTTTTATGTAATCAGATTTCTGTAAATCTGGTTTTATGTTGAACTTTGTTTCTTTTTGGCAATCAGCTGCTTTAGCCTTTTTAATGGCAATAATTTGTCACTTTCAATAGTTAAGGTGAGGTTTTTCTTGTAGCCTATATACAATTTTTATCATTTGGATTCAGGTCCTGTTTCTTTTATTGCTTAAACGTGAACAAATGTATATTGATACGCTAATGCACAAATCTGTAACTGTAATAAACTAATAAATGGATGGAGTGAATTTGAAAAGGCAAGAAGCAGTAGAAATGGTTAAATGTAGATGTATTAAGACCCCCCCCCCCCCACCTCCAATCTTTTGATGAAGCTGTTGCTTTTGTGCACAATTTGTTGATTAGAAGTCGAGGTAAGCACAAAGGTTGTTCACCTGAGCCAATAGCCACAGATGTGTATGTCCAGTAATTTACTAAATTAATTTCATCAGGATTAATACACAAGTGCATCTTCAGTTATTTATCTTTTACGGGGTTTTTCTCTTTCCTAAATGATATACTTTTTTTTAAAATTCAACCTGTCACTTGAATTGTTTTTTTGTTTTTTTTTCGGTGTCCTGAAGGGTTCACGGTTAAGTGCACATACATGTTTTTACAAATATAAGCTCATATTTTATGTAGTGCAATAAATGGAATAATTGGTGAAGTTGAACAAACCAAATATGGTGAATGTAGATCTGTTRCTGGTCTGTTCTCCCAAATTTCCATCTACCAGTCTGTCATCTCTTTATAAATCTTATTTTCAATCTTATTTTCATTCTATGCACTGGGTGACAGGTTCCAATGAAATAAAAGGATTGAAACAACTTCAAAAACTGTTGAAACTCATTGAAACAAAAGATCAACTCATCTAGGTCTAAAAGCTCATAATTCAGTTTTCTTTCCTCATACAATCACATTTCAAGGTTTAGATGCCCAGGCCTCTCTTGCAAAAGAGATCAAAGATCTCAAATGGGATTTGCCTGGGTAAATGAAGGTACAATAAAATGTTATTCCTCACACCTCTTAATAGTGTCACATATTTAAAAAAAAAAGTATAATTACCAGCTAAAATCACTGCTGTTGCACATTCAGAGTGTGGCAGGAAAGCTGCTCAGGTCAGGAATGTCATATAGGAAGTTGTCTAGAATTAGACTTCCTGCTYGTCCCATAGTTTCTCTGGGTGGAGGTGCTGCTGGGTTATAAGGGAATGATGGAGGCAAAGAGAGGAGAGTGTTTTCTGCTTTTCGGACACCTTTACAGTGAAACACAGCAACTAGATGCCTTCAGTTTTTACATTTTTTTACACTGCAGAACAAAACTTCAAGTGTCCAAACTGAAAAAGCAAGAAAATGGCTAAATGTCTTCAAACCCCAACTTCAGTAGAAGTTCTGAATGATGAAAATATTTAGTTTTAATGTGAGACTGATTTGTCATATTTTCATCTTGCAGGACAGCTGTAAATATCCTTTATCTTGTTAGAGAAGCAGGAGAGATGGCGCGTTCAGAAAGACAGCCGAGGGAGGAAACACTCGACTTCAGTGAGGCTGGCTGTCAGTGTGACGAGACTAGAGAACAGTAGGTCAGTGGCCTTGTTGTCCTTATCACTGTGGTTCCAGCCTGGCAGGAATACATTCTGCACAACATCCTGGTGCGTCGAGCTCAGCTCCACTCCTTACATGGTGCTGGAGGAAGTTTTTCCTGTGTGGCAACAACACAGGAGGTGACGCTGAGGAGACTTGTTCTGGCAAAAATAAGAGATTTATGGATGGAAAAGAAACAGCCAGGTTTGGGTGTATTATCCTGTACAAAATTGGCCAAAACTTTATTTTTATTTTWGCAATTTGGTAACTATATGTTTATATATTATTCTTTATATTGTTCCCTTTTTAAGTTTTTTTTAAATAAGTTTTATTTTATCAGGGCTAATGAAACAAGTTTAGTATTTAATGAGCTATGTTTTTCTCTTTAGGATAAGGAAATCTGGTTGTTAGAAACAACTCACATGTAAACACCTACATTTCTGCTATAAACGGCATTCATTTAATGGATTGTTCAGATCAATTTCTGATGTTTTGTTTTTTCAGCTAAAACCCATCTATCTGTGCAGTTCTGTCTCAAGACTGAATAAGGAGCATTTTGTTAAATAGCTGATGAACCTAAAGCGCTGTATGGTTCGATACATATACATGTATTGTTGCACCCTTATGAAAAGGGCAAAGAATTCATCTGAGACTGATTGATAATAAGCCTATAATTAATACATTTTTATTAAATACCTTTGAAGTATTAGCTATTTTAAAAAAGATGTGATCGTGAGTTTGTTAAATAATGATTCACTTGCAATTAGTCCCTAAATTAGTTTTGAACAATTGCATTGTTTTTTGTAAAGTTTTAGAATAATTTTTGCACAAAAATAATTCATAATTATTTTTGATAAACTACAGTAGGAAAATAATGGATAAATGAATGAAGTCAAATGATATTTTAAAAGTATCAGTGTAGGTAATTGTTATGTTACTTTGATTTGTTGTTTAATAAGGAACACCCGTGCTAAAGCAGCTAAAGCTGCATGAGGAAATGTTTGGTGCCGCTCTGAAACCTAATAGGACCCACGTGTTTTTGCTGGCTCTGGCTCCAGAGCCACTTTGCACGCTCCTTGTTGTGTTTTCAAAGAGGTTTGGGAAGCTCAGAGGCGTAAACAGGACTGCAGGGACGGACAGCTGGACTACTGTGGGAGTTTCTGCCAGTGTCGGTCTAACAGCTGTGAGAGGTCTGACAGATAGTTTTTTTTTTTTAGTTGAAACCTTTGATTCTGAATCAAATAAAGTAAATGGTTTGAGGATCTCGGCTGGCAGAAGGGTTTAAAGCAGTGCTTTCCTTAGTTTCCTATTCATCATGTTCTCCATTTGTTATTGACTCCTGTACATTCTACCTTTTTAAAACAAGCTGCAGACTAATGGCTTATACATTATACATAGTTTCTTCCAGTAACTGGCTGCCTTTATGGGTGAAGACTTTCAGACTCCCTGATGGTTTCATGGAAAATCAAGTCACCTCACTTTTTGTTCTTCATTCATCCCCTTTCCCTTCTCTGTCCAATCAATTTCAGGTGTCATAAACTGCCAAAAAAAGCTCAAATAGTGATATAATTTCAGAATAATGTTGCTCAGTGGAACATTAAACTTTAAATYTACTGAAAGTAAAGTGAAGGAATCTGTGTAATCTTCCAGATGATCATATGTTTGGCTTTATTTACATTTCTGCAGCATTTTAGTTATTTTTAAAGCAGATTTGTAAAAGTAATTTATTCTAGTAACATTTACCACCTTTTGCATAGGCTCTTGAATGCAGCACATCTCTCCCCCCTCTCCATCCAGCAGTATTCTCCTCCCTCTGTTTCCTGCCGGCCTCTCAGCAGAGGATGTGACTGAGAGAGAGGGTGCGTGTGAGGGGAAAAGGGGAAAGCCGTCAGTAGAATGGATCTGTGCCCTCTCTCCTCCACCCTTTCTTCTCCTTCCTCCTCTCCTCTGTCTCCTCGCTGGCTGTCTTCACCCTCCTCCGCCTGCGTTGTGCCCTGGGCACAAGTGTTGGCCCTTCGGGGGAACAGGAATCTCGCCGGGTGGACGGGGGACTGAAAACTGAACTTCAATGTCAGCCGGAGAGCAGAAGAATGATGGTGACAGACCTAAAGGTAAACACACACACACACATTTTGCTTGATGACAACATTTCAGAATGGTCAACACCCACTTCTTCTAAAGTCTCTGAACAGCTGTAAACAAAGTAAATCTGGAGCTGTATGGTTGCTTCTCTGAGAGAGAAATGAATGAAGTCTGCAGCGTCATCACTGAAGAGTCAGGTTAGGTGTCGAGTAATGATTTGTGTGCTTTTGATTGCACATGAAACATCAGCACCATCCTCCCTCAGAGGGATGAAGAATCCTTCAAACCAGGTTAAATGTTTTCAAAAGACATTACAAACTCGTCTATCTCTAAATGGTCTTAAATCCGTTCCTTTTTATGAAGTCTGCTCAGTTGGTTAGAATTTCTGTTCTGTTTATAAAGACAAAGTAAAGATTGTGTCATGTAGCTTTGAGAACATTTAAAGGAACAGTGCTGTATTTGCATCTACAAATAACATAACAGCTGGTATTTCAGAGGCTGACAAAATCATACATTTATGTCAGTTCAGTTATTAATGTGGAACAAAATAGGCAAAATATGAAAAACACACATTGTTATATTTAAAGTGTTAGATCGGGTAATAAAACAAAATTCTGAGGTATATTGTATAATAAATGTTTAAACTAATATTTTATTGCCTCATTCATGTTCTCTAAGTTCAATATACTTTTTTTCAAAGAAATTGTAATTAACTGACTAAACCATCCATTACCTTGTACACTTCAATCAAATCCCTCTTATTCTTCTATTTCCTAACATTGTTAACCTCAGTTCTTTAACATATCTTTCCTAATGTTTATGCTCTAATGACCTTCCTCTGATTATTAAGGTAGTTAATTAGAAGGAAAGGATGCAGAGAAAATGTGTCATTTTGGTGCATCGCAACCCAGCAGATATAAAAACTAAATTGTTTGAAATTGCTGCTTTTAGTCATCAGATATGACATGTTTTGAATTATTAATGAACAACTCCAGACATTTGAAGAGACCATCTCATCCTGCAGACATTTTGCATCAGGATTTCTCCACAACTTTTACCCTTCATGTGGGAGAAAAAGACTCTGAATTGAGTCGTGTAGAATCATTGTTGCCAGATAGAGGGGGAAAAAATTAACGCTGCTCGGTCTGCATAACATCCAGAAAATTAAACACAAACRCACAAGAACAATAGCACACATCACAATCCACTCAGCAGCAGAGATGAAACATAAGAACATTTAGAGCAGTATTGGATGCAAATGAACTAATGGGTTCAGCCACTTTAAACATTTCCATTTTCCAGATTTGAGGTTTGTTCTATTTTCTTCTACTTTTTTATTTAAAACTTGATGCAGTATTTAACAGTCAAATAAGTCACGAGGGTCTTTGAGTGTCGGTTCTGTTCATTCAGTTGCCATCAGACTGTCTGGCTCTGCTGGTTTCCATACCAACCTGTCTGCAGCATTATGGTGCGTTAATCAGTGAGTAACAGTCGTATTGTTCTCTGCGGGGTTTTGCTTCAAGCTATACGCTTTTCCAGAGGTAGATTACATTACACTCATCTCTGTCCTGCATGTGGAGCTCAGTGGTTCATTGTTTTGCTGAGCTGCTGGCATTTCAGCGTCAGATTTGGTGCTGATGGGAGATACCAGAGTCTCATGACCTTTTTACAGGACAGAGACAGACCTGTTTGTGGAATTAAGACATCCAAACATCCGAACAACACTCGTGACACTGAAGACTTTTACAAATTCTATTCTGATGTGCAGTCCAGTGCACGAAGCTTACACATCTCTGCTCTTATCAACATATTGTTCACCTAAAACCAATCAGGATGAGTTAAATGTCATGCGACTCTGACATCAGAGATGAGGCCTTGCTCAGCTCACCAAACAGATGACAACAAAGATCGTCTCCATTAGGAAGTAGAAAAAAATRCTTGACTCACACTGTGCAGCATATCTTCTTCCAAAAACATCAATATTTCTCCTGCTGCTCAGCAAAAAGTTTGTATCCTATTTAAAAACGTCTGATTTATGTCTCTTTTTGTTAGTATTTAATGGCTACAGGGTGGACCACAACACAAAGCTGGTCCTTTTAGGACATATTTGTTTATTTTTAGGAAACTACACAACTAGTATTAATTAATATCATCTTAGTTTTGCTGTGGATTATTTATTAGACTATATGGAAACATCTATGAGTCATTTAATTCAACACTAAAACAAAAATACAATTTTTGAGCTTGTTCTCAAACATTTAGGGTATAAGAGGGTGCTTGAATTTTGAATTGAATGAATGTCAAAGAGAATCACAGCAAATCTGAAAAAAGTAATGTAATGTAATTCTCTCATAGTTTCTCTGTAATTTATCATGTTTGTTGACATAAACCTCAACATTAACACTTAATTTTCAGTTTAAAATAATGAGAAAACATTGTTTTTTTGCAGCCAAATGAAAAATTGATGAAAAACACATGAAATTACTGCACATTACATAATCATTCTTGAGAGATGACTTCCCAGCTGGGAACAAACCTCGGAGCACAAGAGGATTTTGTTTCTGCAAACATTATTTGGGAGCAGAGCTGCAGTTGCAACAGAAAAGGTTGATCTAACTTCACACRGAACAAAAAAATGAGCCAATTCCAGCTTTCCTGCCATGGGAAAGATTGTGTTGTGGGTTCAGAAACTAATTTACTTACAAATTTCTTAGAATCAGGACGTTTTAAATGTGCTTATCCAATTGAGGCCTGATTTGTCCAATTATAATAACAATTTCCCACAAGAAATCTGTGAAGCATCAAATCTCATGATCAGTTTAGCTGATAAACAGAAAGTAAACACCACCACAGGATACTCTTGAGTTCTTGGGTTTTACATTTTCAAGAAGCAATTAACTGATTTTTAAACGTAATCCTACAAGAACATCACTGGTGTATTACCCTGAAAATTTATTTTATTAAAAAGATTCCAGTTATCAAGATCTGAAATCATTGTTAATTCAAATCAAGGGTTTTTATTTTTGTGATTTTTTTTAAAGATACTCCAGCTGAAAAAAATCCCCCAGTCACTCATCTTCACTTTGCCTTCCGATCTGCTTCTCTGTCAGATTTGGTGTCAGAGGGCACAGTGTGGCCAGAGGTGGAGAGGGCGGAGCGACTGGCGCGTGGCGCTGCTCTGAAGTGGGCGTCGGGCGTTTTCTGTCGCCCTGAACATCTGGAGCGACTGAGCCAGTACAAGAAGAGGGAGAGTCAGAGGACCGCCTCGGTTCACACCAGACTAAAGGTGACCCAGAAAAATCACAGTTTGCATTTTAGCAGAAATTGTAGTTTTCTAGTCGGAGTTCATGTTGACTGTTGAATGAAGCTAAAGACTAGGTAAACTTTAAAAGAAGAATGTTAGCTAAAATCAAAATGTTCASCTCATTCAGGAGATGGATGCTATAACATGGTCATATGGTTGCAGTCGATGGTCCAATCGTACCTGGAGGGGGTGGGCTGGGGACTGGAGCAGCTTCGAGAGGCCCGAGCCGAGCTGAAGGAGGTGTCCCACACACTGAAGAAGGCAGGACTGGAATCAGATGGAAACATCGAGAACCTGAGATCTCTGGAGAGGCTGAGGGAGGTGTCCGTCACCCACCGTCAGCTGCTCGCTGCCGTCAGCAACCTGCCTCGACTTTACTCCGGTGAGGCGTTCTCAAAAAGAATTTAATTATTTTACAAAACAATTCCTCCCACAAATATTGACACGTCGTTCAATAACACTGATTTCAGTCCACAACATTACTACTGAGTTCACTGTGTTGTGAAATTTCACTGAAAATATTTATTGTTATGAAGCATTTTTAACTTTCACTGTAGTGCAGTTATAGTTCAAATTAAAAAGTAGTAAAGACACCATCTAACAATCCCAGTAACTAAAAAAGAAAAGAATCTTCTTTGGTGTAGTTCAGACATTACTCCATTGGTTTGAACTGACGTCATGAGGTCATTGTGTTCACTTGTGCAGTGCGAAGCATGGTGCTGGAGACGGAGCGTCTGGTGGAGTCCCGCCGGCTCCTGGAGGCCCACACCCGGCTCATGGATCTGGAGCGATGGCAGGACGACATCCTCTGGCAGCTCCACGGGGCGGCTGGGACGACAGGAAGTGCTCTCAGCCTCGAGGACCAGGAGCTGGTGGGCAGATATTTTTCTGGAGTGGGTCAGCTGGTGGACGCCCTGGGTGAGGAGATCAGTTTACTCAATGATGCTGGAAAAAGCAAACAAACATGATGTAAAGAAAAGGGCAGCAAGATTTCCTCTGGCAGACGGAAACAAATTAAGCCTCAAACAAAAAGCAGCTGCACAGTTTGGATCTCAAAGCTCTGATAGTGACATTTTTATGTTTTTTGTAGGAGATGTGACAAGTTAAAAACATCCTTCTAGTTTTGAAGAAAGAATTTTGAGCTAAAACAACTGTGGAAGCTTGGGTGTGTGCACTCTGCATTTTCAAGGGATTTAAGAGAAAACTGTGACTTCCATAACAATGACTGACACACTGGATGAGAGAAGACAAAGAGAAAAATCATGGAAATTCAACTGTAATTTTAGTTAAAACTGTAAAATATATCTACGTCCAATTTTCTGTGACATTTAAACTTTGAAAGATATTTCTAAGTTGAGGTCTGCCTGTGATATGGAGCTCCTGGTTTTTTCCGTCTGTTTCAACAAACTCCTGTTTACCTTTGTTTATTTTCTTTGAGTTTTTTGAGAATTTTGTCCACGCTGTGTGACATAACCCAGTCATTCCAGTCTAGCTGCATATTCAAGGCAAAGCAATGAGAAAAAAGAATAAAAATTTTATATTTTATGCCAAATCAGCACATTCAACACAAACCAGTTTCTTCATAATTTCTGTCCAGGGAGCCTGATTTTCTTCTATGAAGCAGTGTTTACAAAGTGCTTTTGTGAAACTAAAAACAAAACCTCATCCTCCCTAATCCTGCAGGGAAGGAGCTGTGGGCGGTGGTGAGCAGTGCTCTTGCTCTGGCCCGACAGAACCCCACGCCGTTTGTGTCGGCCGTGAGGATAGTGGAGCGTGAGGAGGCCCTGGACCGAGCTCTGCTGGTGGAGAGAGGGGAGGCCGGAGGTAGGCCCCTGCCTCCTGGACGACCCCGCTGCTGGAGAGCATCCTTCTTCCAGGTCAGCGCCACCCGACGAGGACCGAAACCACCACCTTCAGCTTCTTTATAACCTCTGGTTTCTCCTGTCCTCAGGTACTAGAGGAGGCCGTGCTGGCCAGGTTTCGGAGCGTGTCCTACCTGCACACGCGTGGTCCGGGCCTGGCGGGGCACCTCTCTGCGCTGCAGCACGGCATCATGGCTGACCTCGCCACAGTGCGCCACCTACTGGAGCACTGCGTCCCAACACACTACCAGCTGACTGCAGCCTACCTGAGGGCCAGCCACCACTGTTTACACACTCACCTGGCTCAGGTCGGTCATGTCCCCTGCACCAGCTTTACCTGCGTTTACTGCAAGGATCTCTCAGCTGCTTTTGATGTTTCTGTTATTTATGCAGCAGGAACAAATATTTTGTAGAATAATGATGTCCAACTCTGAATGTTCTTTGTGTCGTAGGTTAGCAGCTGGGATCTGGAGAGTGGTGAAATATTTGCCGTGCTCAACTGGGTGCTGCACATCTACAGCAGGTGAGACTCGTGACCTGAATCTTTTACTGTCTGGGTCAGGGTTCCTGCAGATCCTTAAAAAGTCTTAAAAGTCATTGAACTCATCAATCCAAAAATAAGGCCTTTATTAGTCTTAAAATGTCTTAAATCAATCTTTCAGAAGTCTTAAAAATGTTAACACATTGTACACAGGATGACTGTAATTTGCCTCAAATATTAAAATAATTGGTAACATTTGTTTTTTTAAACATTCACATGCAGACATAATCCTTTTGACATTACTTCCTATTATTTCACATGCAAATATCTCAACAACTGTTCATCTGAGCATCATGAAACTTGCTTTCTAATATGTTAATAATGTTGTCTTTCCAAAAATGCATTCACTTCTCTTACTAAAACTTGATGTCACAGGCACTTAAAGGTTTCATCTACAGCAAATTGGAGTTAAGACCCCACTGTGGGTCCTAAAACTCCAAATTTTGGGTTGTTAGAGGATGTCCAGAAATTAAAATAAGTTTAAAACTGACTGCTAAGAAGGTTTCTGCTATAGTTAGAAATGGATAAAAACAATAGGTCTATTAGCAACATTTGAATACTTCAATCAAAAATACTTTGATTCATGAGTTTCTGCCAGTTTTTAATTTTGTCATTTGTGTTTTTTTATAAAATTGGTCTTAAATTTAATTTCACTTGGCATTAAAAAGTCTTAAATTGAACTTTGCTTAAACTGCAGGAACCCTGCTGGGTACAAGGGTAGGAGTGAGAAGCTGAGTGTGATGTTTTGTTTTGGCAGCCCAGATATGATGGGACACCCGGAGCTGGTGACTGATATTGAGAGAGCAGAACTGGGTCCGCTCATCTCCACTGAGRGTCTGGAGCAGCTGCAGGCCAAATACGTACAAAGTGTTCGGGTGAGTCGACCTGAAGTCCAGATTATCTAAAAATATAATCCACGAGCTTCATTCAGAAGCATCAGAAAAGCCAGCATCGTGTGGGGAGATTTCTCAGTCCAATCCAACTTTATTAGTAAAGCACTTTTTCCACCACAGTAGACCAAAGTGCTGKACAGAATCAACCTTTCAACACAGCTCATACAAAAACGAACACAATCAAAATTAAGAATAAAAACACACAAAAGATTTAAAAACAAATAAAAGTATTTTAAAATGGATCCTAAAAGGCTCAGGTAACAGTGGAGTGAAGCTAAAATAGGAGAAATGTGCTCATATTTATGTGTGCCAGTTAAAAGCCTCGCTGCAGCATGTCGGACCCTCTGCAGTGGGGTGACGGAGGACCCTCTAACCCCCAGATAAAGTCCATTACAGTAATCCAGCYGGGTGGTGATAAAGGCCTGGATTACTGTCAGCTCAGCTCTAATAAGAAGCTTGAAGTGTGGCAGCATTTCWAACATAAACAGGATTTTACACTGACAATGTTTTTATTTCAACATGACTGAAGTTCTGAACGTTTAAACTGGTGTAAAGTTTGTAAACGTGCTGGTTGTTGAGTCTGAGTGGCTGCTGTCGCTGCTGCAGAAGAGCGTGTCAGAGTGGATGCACAAAGCTCTGCAGGTGGAGCTGCAGGACTGGCAGAGAGACCAGGAGCCTGATACAGACCACGAGGGTTTCTACCAAACCAGCCTGCCCACCATCATCACACAGGTGAACATCTGGCACGAATGCAGATGTTTTAGATTAGTTTTTGTTTGGCATAAAGTCTTCTGATTTTGTTGTTTTTCCAATTAGTTTGACAGAAAAAGGTTGTTTTTTGTTGCTCTTAGATTCTTTAATAATGAGTCACATGATGTCAAATTATAGTTCTTATAATTTATAACTACAAATATTAAATTTAAAGCTGCTAATCTGATCACATTTTATAATAATGAGCTTTGTGTGTCTCCTCCCAGGATTTTCTGCTTGTTAACAATGTTTTATTGCTTCTTTAAAATTGCTTCCAGATCATCTGACAGTTCCTGCCTGATGAGCTCAGTGTGGAGGAGTTTAGAGGATGTGGAATAAATGTTTTGTGTTTGTTGACCGGTAGATGCTGGAGGATAACGCTCGGGTCGCTCTGATGATCGGAGAATCCCTGCGAGACCAAACCATACAGATGGGGCTGTATGAGATGGAGAACCTCTTAAACAGGTGTGAGCTCAGTTTATAAATATAAATATAAATATAAATACTCTGTGTGTAAAGTTTTCTTCTGTGTAATGAAATAAAATGCTGCATTGACTTTCAGGTTTCGGGAAGCTCTGGTTGAATTTGGAAAAGAGCATCGCAGAGATCYAGGCAACGACAAAAACAAGTTCTACCTCCACTACCTGCTGGCTTCCATCAGCAACTGCATCATCCTGAAGTAAGATTCTGACYGGGTTCTGGTCCACACTGTGCATTTTAATGCTTTAAGGTGCACCTTTAGCATCYTGGTGAAGATGACCTTCTGTTTGCTCAGTTTTTGGGCAACATTTTATTCAAAAACACTGACTCCAGTGGAAGAGACTGATCATGAAGGAGTGTTTTTGTGTACTTAGAGCAAAGTGACTCTTTTAAAATAAATTTAGTTTTATTGCTTCATGATCTGAGCATAAAGGATGTTTTAGTTCCCATATCATCAGAACAAATAACATCTCAAGCTTTTACCCTCAAATGAAAATGCAAAAACGTAAACAAAACTGCGTATCGGTTTGACATGATAAAACTTTATTCATACAGCTTGTTTTATACAAATCAAACACAACTGAAAATGTTTACATGTAATAAACATACCGCTAGGACAGACTACAGCATGCCTAAACAAAACATCCAAATTAACTCTAAAAACTGAAATAAAATATTTGATTTTAGWTGTTTGTATCATTAAATACTGTGAAGTTAAAACACTGATTAYTAATAGTGATTAATGATTAACTTCTTCCACTCTTTGTATAATTTAAAGCAGAAATACAAACAATTTTAAAGCTTTTAATGACTGAATTAAAGATCTGATGAGTGCACATCTGTTTTTTATATAGATTGTTTAGAACTTCTGGATTGAACYGTTCATTTCTGATAAAACGTAAATAAACCCAGAGTTGGTTCTGTCGCCTGGTGTCTGATACAGGAAGTCCACAGAGAGCCTGCAGCAGCAGCAGTCCTCCCGGGCTGCAGCTCAGTTCTCTCGGACTCCACCCAAYCCTCTGGCGGCTCTGGACCGGGCAGTGCGGCGGGCGTGTCGTCTGGTGATGGATCAGCTGCTGCTGGACCTGCAGCCCTTCCTCCCCGGRCTGCTGACCCGACCCTGGCTGGTCCAGGGAGATCCCACCCCCAAGCTGTGCAGCATCCTGGAGCTTCACCTGGAGCTGTACGGCCGAGTGCGACCTCCCTGCCGGCAGGTCAGAGACCCCCTCAGATCTGACTCAGACTGATTCCTCTGCCTCGTTTCTGTGATGGGATCTTTGCTCCACAGATGTGGAGGTGGAGCTTGTGTTTTATCACCAACACTGAAGAGGGTTTTGTGTCTGCAGCGCCTGCAGGAGGAGGCCCAGTGGCTGATGGTGGTGGAGTACGTCAGGGCGCTGATGAAGAAGAAGCTGGTGTGTCGCAGCGCTGAGGACAGGAAGCACCTGGCTCAGCAGATGCTGCAGGACGACCAGCTGCTCCGGGAGGTCTTCCACAGCCTGGTGAGGATATCTGTACAAATATTTAATCTTGTTGTCCCCATTCAGAAACAGTTTAATGTCCTGAAACACTTTGCTCTTTCACAATATTCTGGAAAAAAACAGCAACGGGTTTTATAAAGTGATAAATTGTTATTAACATGTATTAACAATAAATGAAAACTAGCATCTCTCATTGATGAAGGCTGCACTTCAGCCGTGATCTTGGAGATTTTGTCAAAATTGGTCAAATTATTAATGCAGAGAAGCTGTGTTTACTGTATATTAACATTTTAAAATGTCCGATCAACCACTTCATTTTAATCGTTTAATTCAAGTGATTTATTTAAATGTCATAAAAGTAATAAATAAAAATGTTTATCTTTAGCTGCTGCAGCTGTCAAGTCCACGTGTGTGAGTGTGTGTGTTTGTCTGGGCAGGAAGGTGAGGGGTCAGTTCCTGAAGTGAACCCTTTGGCTCTACTCCCCGTCCTGGCTGACTTCATCCGACTCAAAGACCCCGGCATGCTCACTCTGGAAGTTTCTGGTCTTGCAGCCAAATACCCCGACATCAGGTTCTAGTGTACAACATTATTCTTCCATAAACCGTGCGTGCATGCGTGTGTGTGTGTGGAGTCCAATAGTACCAGCAGGTTTCTTCCAGAGTAGACGATGCGAATGTAAAAAATCTAATCATTTATGTCCTCGTTTGTCTACTCGCTCAGCGAGGAGCATGTGACCGTGCTGATGGACGTCCGCGGTGACGTGTCCAGGGACATCCGAGGGGCCGTGCTGGACTTACTGGAGCAGAGTGCCCCTCCTCCTCCGGTTGGATACCGACCCATCTTCACTGACATCCTGGTGCCACCCTCCACCCTGGCCTTCTGTCTGCCAACGGCCAAGTGTGCTTGACTGCACGACTCAGACGTGTTGATGGAAAAGAACATCTCCATCAAAGCCTTCCTAACAATATCTAAAACTATCACAAATCTAATTTTATTTAATTATTTCAAGGATTAAGTTGAGGACTTGCTGGTTCAGGTCAAACTTCTTTATTCTTTGCCACCCCCCC